GGACCTATAAAGACAAATCTATGTCTGCGTGTAAAGTACTCACAAGGAACTCCTTGTATGGATTTTCAGACAATTCTGTTGAAAAATGTGGGTAAAATCATAAAAATACCGAATATCGGGAGGTACCGTTATATGGGGGCTATACGATATCGTGGACCTATATAGCCCATCTTCGAACTTGACCTGCCTGCAGACAAAAGAGAGATCTGTGCAAAATTTTAGCTTCCTTTCTTAATTCGTTTAGACTGTAGCGTGATTACAACAGACGGACAGACGGACAGACGGACGGACAGTGCTAAATCGTCTTAGAATTTTACGCTGATCAAGAATATATATACTTTGTTGGGTCAAAAATGATTATTTCGATGAGTTACAAACGGAATCACGAACTTAATATACCCTCCATACCTTTTTTGGTGGAGGGTATAAAAACTGCAACCAACTTCAGACCACTCGCCCGATAACTGTTAAAATTATTCCAGTGACAGTTCATTATATTGTTTATAAGTGTACAAAAGCATTTTGGTAAGAATTTTCCAAAAAAAAAAAAAAATAATTCGTGATAATCAATAAAATATATAATAATTATGAGTGAAATTTGTTTATTAATTATAAATAATAATAATAATTTGTCTATTAAATATAAATTTTAATAAATATACATAAAAAATTTCAACACGTTGCAATTCCATGCATTAGATTTGTACTAGAAAGTACAAGAATTTATGATACATTTACGAAGGAAATCTCGTACAATCATACGATTCAAATTTTTTGTTTATTTGATGTCATTTCAGTTAAATTTAATTTAATTCCTTAGATATGGGCGTACGACAGGAAATTGATATTTATTTCAGACCATATATTTTTTTCACTTTTGCACGTTTTTTCCTTCTATTAAAGAAGATTTTGATCTGAATCAGAAAACAAAAATAATAGCCTCATAAATAATATGAGACGTGATTATGGAATGTTTGAATTAGATATGGGCGTACGATAGGAAATTAACATTTATTTCATTATTATTATTTTTTCACTTTTGCACGTTCTAACCTACTATCAAAGATGATTTTGATCTGAACCAGAAAACAAAAATATTAGCCTCATAAATAATATGATTATAGAATGGTTGAATTTTGATTCAAAGTATAATTTTCCACCAGCTAGGGCAGGTATAAATATTAAAAATATCTATCATCAGGCCGCATTTTCAGTTTTCGATTTAGTACAGAATCCATATTGAGGTTATTATGCAGATTTTGACATTTTTCACCCGGTTAATATGGTGAAAAGACTGACTTAAAATAAAGCATCATTCGAGGACTACACAACAACTAAAGATGTCGGTATATTTACTGCTGCCATTTCTAAGCCACACGTCCGACAGCTGTTAAAATTATTCCAGTGACAGCTCATTATATTTTTTACAAGCGTACAAAAGCATTTTGGGGAGAATTTTCCAGAAAAAAGTTATTCGTGATGGAATTCAAGCGTGATAGTGTGATTTCTTTATATTTGGCTGGAAACCAACAGAAAGAAAACAGACTCAAAAGAGCTAAAGAGTCGCTTCGCTTTGCCGAAAGTGGTGAACTGCCGAATTTGCTTTTCTGCGATAAGAAAACATTAGTTGTCCAGCCGTTTGTAAACAAACAAAGTGATGGTGCACCTTCGGTTGGCCACCAGAACTCAAGCGCCGGCCATTGTGATGGTGTGGGCCGTCATAACAGCCGCTCGTAGTAATCGACCGTGTAAGAATAAATGTCGAATATTATCGCGAAAATATTCTGGAGGGTGTATTAAAGCCTTAGCACGCAAACATTTTGGCCGCCGACCTTGGATATACCAACAGGACTCAGCACACGCTACCCAAGAATGGTCACAAAATGAGGTTCCTCGCTTCATTTCCAGCGCACAATGGCCACCAAAATCTCCGCGTCTGGAGTATTTTGAAAAGCAAGGTTGCCACCAAAAATTATTAAAGTGTCGATCACCTCATGCGCTTGGCCGGGAATGGCCGTTTGAAGGTCATAATTCGTCCAAAGGTGACCAATTCGAACAAATCCAAACTTATTTTAAAATTTTATGCTATTTCAAATGTAACAAATGTAAAAATACAAAAATTATGGCGTTTGACTTTGTTGCAGTTTTTTATCTCACCCTGTATAAACCCAGAGAAGATAAATTTTACGTTCCAAGGAACGCCGAAGATAAGAGATTATTTACTATTTTTGTAAAATATACCACGCGTCATACGTATACATTTTAGATATAAAATAATTCTCGTGTGAAAAATGATAAGGTTCGTTGGAAAAGTATTGCCATATTCGATTTATCAAATGAGGTACCTCTATTGTTTTGGCATAATACAATCATTACCGGAAATGATTCCCAAGATGGTTGATAAACTTTTAAGTTGAATTATTGAAGCCTCGCCGATCATAATTTTGATAGCTTCCTTCTTTAAATCTTTTAAATCTGGCAAAGTTCCATCAGAGAGCTTAAAACCTGCGGCTGGAATTTTGTTGAAAAAAATGAAATGAAAAATATTTTGTGTATAAAATTTCTTACTTAAAATTTGTCGTTTTTATTAAATTTTACATTACAGATTTTCATAGAACAAGAATTGAGCACCTGAGTTTTTGTTGTTGCAAAATAGACAAGCTTAAAGCCGTTGTCTATTTTTATAAAAACAACAACATTTATTGCTTGTGATTCTAGCTTTAATCCCTGTAGAAAACTGTTGTTTTTTGAAGCTATGTCCGCTTTCTGTCAAAATTACTCACAATTATATGCAACGAGTTGTTTTCATTTATTTGACATTTTTCCTTATTTTTAAAATGAGTTAAATAAGATTACCTTGTTTATTTTGAATTAAATAATAAAAATATGAAATTTGAAGGTATATAGACCAAATCTATATAATTTGTGGTGGTATTAAACACCTTTTGTATATATTAGGGGACCAAATAACATTCCATTGAGAGTGAAGGGTAACTCAACCATAAAAAAGTAAAATCTATTGTTAGCTGTGCTTTAACTTGATTCCATTGTACTGTGCTTGCAACTTTCTCTAATGTATCCTACCATGGTAGAAAAATACAGGTAGATGCATCAACGCTTGGGAGCATTGATATGTCAAAATTTTTAAAATTTATTTTTAAATATAAGTAGCTTTTTATATGTTTTCTTATACGACGTCATTCGGAGGTTATTGTAAAATGCCATTTTCAACAATTTTTACAAATAAAAAAATTTTTCATTCAACATTTTCAATTCCAAAATTGGTTTGACATTTCATTGTCCCAGCAGCTGCGTCGATGCGACTACCTATATTCTTCTACCATGTATCCTACCTTGTCTTCATTGTACCATAGTTTGGACAAATGCCATACGTTTTCGTGTGGAGCGTAACTGCAATGCGTGTGATCCCCATTATCTTGCGAATATTGTTATCGATAACTCGGTCGATTTGTAAACAAAACAATCAAAACAATAAAAAGTGGAAGGATTGATTGTATCGTTTGGGAGATTTCAAGAATTTTCTTTGTGAGAATCCTGCCTGTACGGCCATGGATCAAACAGTGGATCTAGCTGCTAAGGTTGAGGAGTTAATAAAACTCACCAACTCACTAAAGCAGGAAATAAGTGTGCTCAAGGGCAATGATGTTAATGTGAAAGTTGATGAACTGGAAAAGGAGATGACTGACTTGAAGAATGAAATAAATGAACTCAAGTGTGAGGAAACATAAACATGTATATAAATATAATATACAAATCTATTATTGTATTTCAGATGGCTTAATGAAGCAGAATGCCAAAATATTGGCCATAATACATGAATTGTCGGAAAGTAAAAAGATCCAGGTGATGGGAAATCTTGCAATTCTTAGGGACAGCACAAAGTCAAAATCCAGTGAAGAAGCAATACACAAAAAAGTTGTAAATTTTTCGAAAATGTTCCCACTCGGTACTTTGGATGATCTCGATAAGCTTGAAAAGTTGTTATCGATTGGAAAAAATAACGAAGATGAAGTTGTAAGTTTAGTACGCTATTTGGATTCTATGGATATTCTACTGTTTACTGATCTCGAGAGGCGATAGCATTAAAGCATTTTTGACACAATTTCGCTCACTATGAACGATTTATAAATACTCAACTTAAATAGTTTAAAAATGTTAATGTAAGTAGTAGATATTCGTCAGGGAATTATGTCCACTTTTTGAAGATCTTTTGTCAGCATAAGTGTATTTTATATCCAGTGACAAAAATGATACCTTTAATATGTTTTTGCAATCAAGTGGACAAGAGCTTTTTCATAAAAAAGACCCCCATGCTGAACGAGTTCAAACTTTTAATTTAATTTGAAATTTCGCGGTCTTACGTTTTGACATAGCTCCTATATAATAGTTGTAAATTTTTAGTGCGAGTGGGGTTGTTATTTATTCTTTGCTTCTTTTGTATCCAAGGTACTTATACTCCAACGTTTATTATTACCCAAGGGCGTAGCCAAAAATCTGAAATTTGTATTATCTGATAATATAATAGTACAATCCAATCTGGAGGGAATACACGGCAAAAAGCGTCTTCTTAATTATCAACGGTTTATAGATGCAGTGTATCGTAAGTATTTGTCATCAATGATGATTGAACAATACCAAAACTGAATGAATGAATCATTTTCATGTACAAATTTTCTTATTCTTTTTGCAGAGGCCGTTTATAAGAATGGTTACAGTATAAACACATTTTTGTCGGATTTTCGCCGTGGTTTGAGATGTGTTAAAAATCGTAATTCTAAAATAAGGTGTAGACGTGTGAAAAAACGATCCAGTAAATATGATGAAGATTCAAACAATGCTGATGATGATTATGGCGATGAAGACGAGGATGAATTTATGGATGATGAAGAACAATCCAACTCACAACTGGAATCAATAATTAAAACAGAAGATAATTCCGTTTTTGGTGATTAATAAAGCTTGTAAATCACAGAAAAAGATTATGTAAACTTATTTTTATATTGCAAAGTAGTTTTTGATGATGTTAGTTTGTACTAACAGATGTTTATTTTTTCCATTTCTCAGGAAATTTGACAAAAGAAATAAAAAATCTTACTCCTATTTATCACCTAAAAACTGTGAATGAAAACTAAATCAAATAGTCCAAAATAAGCTAACTTAAAATTAATCGAATTTAGTAAGCTATTCGAAATCAACATCTTCTTCAGTTTTTACAATGTCCATGTTTAATTCTGTTACAATAAATCTTTCACTCATTTTTTGTCGAGCTACACAGTTATTTTTGTGCAAACGATTTTTACTATTTCTAAGTGCACGCCTCAAGTCGTTTAGGAAATCTTTCTTAGTATAGCCATCCGTATAGCAGGCACCTGGAAATTAAGAAAACAAAGAGATACACAATGTAAAAAGCCAACTGTTGAAAATTCTGTCTTACTGTACAAGACTTCTATAAATTTCTTATAATCCAGTAGCCTCTTTTTATTGTGATGGCCATCAACATTGACATCCATTATAATTTTGTCCGAAATAACATGCACAATATTTTTTACAAGTCCATGGGGTGCTACTAGATGTTGTACAATATTAATCTGCAGAGAAAGACAGACAGTTAAACATATTATTCATAGAGTAAGTCAATCCAATTATATATGTTTTATTGTGAGAACTAGCTACGTTGCAAAAAAAAAACAGAAAGCGAAGACTTTCGCATTTTTGCAAATTGATTTCAGGTGCTATTCTGGGATTATGTGAAATTTTTATAACAGGTGCGTATTTTTACCCCGATATTGGAAAAAGTATTTTTCGTTCATGAAAATCCAGTTTTGCCGGCTATTGTATTCTAAAGTTCGGTATATACAATGTGGAAAGCTTATGGAAATACTTATGCAACAAGTGCCATATAATGGTGGTCGGTAAAACCGGTTAAAATTAGGATTTGTATCCAAACTTTCGAGTCGAATAAAAGGACAACCGGATCTCCCTTAAAATACTTTGCCTTAATCAAAATGTTCAGGCACATTACGAGCCCAGCACCTAAACTTAAGCCCACGCAAAATTTCTCACAAGTGAACATTTTAAACTGGTCGGGCTACTGGTCCTTACATTTTGTTGCATGTTATTATCATTTAGTTCTGCTTCATATTCGCCTAGGTCTTCAATGTCTTGTAATGGAAAACGACGCAAAATTTGCGTAATATTTTTCCCATACATTACTTCGGTTGCATTTGGTTCGAGTGACGGTGGTGCCACACTTGCTTGCTCCAGCAATAGATTCTGTTTGGTAAGCAGGTTAATAATCAGTTCATTTTGTTCTTGTAATGTTTCTGTTCCATTCATTCACCCAAACATAAAGAAGAAAACCAGACAAATGTAAATGTATGTGAATTAGTCAGGGTCATTTTTGATAATAACAAACAATTATTGTAAGTGCTTACCTTTTAGTTCCTTCACTTCTTTCCGTAAACCGGCTGCTTCATCACTTAGTTTATCAATGCGCTCACTAACATTTGCCATGTTTGTTTTGTTTTTTAATTCCTTCTTGCAGTTGTTTTGCTTAATTTCCCTTTGTATAGTTTTTATTATTTGGCATCAGTTTTGCATGACGAGATATCGAAGCAGATGTAGAAGTGGTGGATAAATAAGTCATTTGGTAATAAGTGAAGTTGTCTACTCTAGCACGTATGAGTTATCGAAATGTAAAGGAGTGTTCACACGCACTATTATTTTTCATTTTATATAGCCTTCTGGTTAGATATTAAACTATAAGTAATTTTGTGTATTCTTTTCAACAATGAGCTTTTTTATTTATTTAGTTGACAGCTAAAAATTGTCTGATTTATGGATATAGATTTTGACAATGGGATGTTGTCAAATGTATAAATTTGAAAAAATATGATTATATGACTAACTTCTTGGTTCTACCATGCTATGTCCGTATGTCTGTCTCTCCGTCTGTCTGTTGAAATCACGATACAGCCCACATAATTTGACGTAGAGCTTCAAAATTTGGCAGAACAATTTTTATTATAGGATGGTTGGTATTGAAAATGAGATCGGTCCACGTTTTGGTATAGTCCCTATATAACGGTACCTTCCGATATTCGGTATTTTGATGATTTTTGCCACATTTGCCAATGATTTCGGTGTTTTGATGATTTTTGGCCACATTTTTTTCACGGATTTGTCTAAAAATTGGTATTTGTAGGTCTTAATAGGTTCCTGCTCGTGTGGCGAAACATTGTATGTATAGGTCCAGTTTTTATATAGCCCCTAAATATCGGTACCTTCCCATATTCGGCATTTTGATGATTTTTGCCACATTTTTTTCACGGATTTGTCTAAAAATTGGTATTGAGTTCTAGCTTCGGTGGCGAAACATTGTATGTATAGGTTTTGGAATGTCCCCCATATAACGGCTTCACTTACTTTGTTTTTTTTTTTTTGAAAAGTTTAACATCATTATCCAAATAGTCTTACTGTTATTTTTAGTTAATTGAGTGGAGAACGTTTGAATTCAGATACTTTTATAAAAAACGTTTTCTTTAACCAATGGTGGAGGGTATTAAAAGTTTGGTCCGGCCGAACTTAATGTTTTTTACTTGTTTGTATTGAAACGTTTTATGATTTTTATTATTAATTTTTTTTTGTAATGAAAATGTAAACAACAAGTAATAAACTGCATCAAAACGTTTCTTTTGTTAAGATTTGCGCCAGAGTTGTATTGCTGGATCAGATTGTTATCTTACAAATGTTTTGCAAGATGCTGTTCGTTTACGTTTTGCAATTTTTACTCTCGAGGAAGAAGAAATCGTATTATTTCTCAGTAACTTATCGCTGAGTAAATGTTACTGGGAAAATAAAATAAAATCTGTTGCAAACAGATGTCGGTTGGCAGTTTTTGCGCGATCAGTAGTGGAGTTCCCTAACTCATTTTTTGAGTTAACGATAAAAACCGGTAATTCACGAAATTTGTTGGTAAGTTAGCGACGAAACTAAAGTAGTCGCTAAGACCTACCGATAGATACCAATTTTGTCAACCTTAAATTCTATTTTATATCAATGATTGAGTTTTTGTCGGTAACTCAAAAAAAAAAAAAAAAAAAACGAATTCGAATTTGCATAGTCGATCCACTAGACTTCGAAAAAAAAATTTTCAATAATTACAATTGTTCAATTGATGTCATCATGTAGGGGTTAGTTTTTCTATTTCAATGTACCATTTTTAGTTCATAAATCTGTTATAGTTGTTAATATTTTTAACATTTTAGGTTTGGGTGACTTTAGTATTTTTACTCATATCCCTGAAACGACATATGTGGCATCTGTAGATTCGAATTTTTTCGATGATAAGCGATGAGTGCTCTCCGTTGTCTATATTCAAGCGTATATCCTTTCCAATAACATTAAAACTCTTAAAAAATATTAATTTGCTTTATGAATTGTTGTTTATTACATCTAATTAATGGAAATCCGCTTTGTACAAATGTAATTTCTCTTCTGATCAATTTAGATTTTCTTCAAAATTATATAGGCCATACCTAAAACCAGATGGCTTGAACAAAAACGAAAGGTCATGCATTTTTGTATTAAAGCCCTTTTTTCAAATGAATGAACCCCAAGCCTTGTAGAAAATTGCGAACATTAGTAGAACCCATATATCAAATCACCCGATAACAGGCATTGTTGTCATTCTCGTTTCATGGAGAATAGATAATCTCTATCAAAAATGTTCGAATGTATCTTACAAAATTTGACTAACATGATAATCCAATTCAAAAATAAAAAGAAAACGTTCATTGTTGATGTACAAATATTACTTAGATTTAATATTTACAATTTCTCTCAATTTCAAATGAGTATCCTCGTATACGATTTCAGTTCCTATCTTAGAATAGACTGTCAAATAATTAAGATTTAATACTATATTAACTTAATAGCAATACTTAATACTACTATTAACTTAATAGTAATTAAAAATGATCTTATTCCTAGCTAGTGCTTAAACTTTTATTAATGTCATATATACATAGAAATACAAAGGTTACTTTTCTCTATTCAAACTTAACACCACCCTCGGTTTTCACAATGTCCAAATTTATTTCTGCTACAGTTTCACATCCACGCAGCTTCTGTCGGGCAACGCAATTGTTTTTGTGACAACGATTTTTCGCAATTCTTAACGCTCGCCTAAGATCGTTTAAGAAGTCTTTTTGCGTATAGTGTTCGTTACAGCAGGCACCTGTAAAATTGGCAACACGTAGATATACAAATGCTGTTTATTACAATGTATAATTTGTGATTTACCATACAAAACTTCTATAAATCGTTTGTAATCCAGCAGCCTTTTCTTATTATGATGACCATCAACATTGACTTCCATAATAATTTTGTCCGAAATGACATGCCCTATATTTTTTACAAGCCCATGGGGTGCAACTAGATGTTGTACGATATTTATCTGCAGAAAAAGACAGGTATATATAGAAGTAAAGAATTTTTAAATTCCTTTTGCAAAGAAACAGAAAGAATTTCGATTTTAAAATTAAAGAATACTATGTTTTATATCAAAACGTAAATTGTGGATTTCCTTCATTTTTAAATAAGCAAAATTCCTTAAAAGTGAAATTTGAAATTAGACAGATAGAGTTATGCAGCTTTCTTACATTTTGTTGCATATTATCATCATTTAGTCTCGATTCATATTGCTTCAAACTTTCCATATCTTTTAAGGGGAAACGGCGAATAATTTCCGTAATATTTGTCCCATAAACCACTTCGGATACATTTGGTTCAGTTGCCGCTAATATCAAACTAGCTTGTTCCAGCAATTGACTCTGCCTAGTAAGCAGACTGATAATCAGTTCATTTTGTTGTTCCAGCGATGCTGTTTCAGTTATTCATCAATGGAATGGAAAGAAATAATATGTTAGTCATTTCCATTGGAAGCAATGTTAAGTGCTTACCTCTTAGTTCTTTGACTTCCTTTCGCAGGTCATTTGCTTCTGTTTTTAATGTGTCAATACGCATACTAACATTATCCATGTTCGGGTTTTGGTGCTTTTTTTGAAAATAATTCTTATAAACCTTTTCTAATTAAGTTTTTATTCTTTGGCATCAGATGTAGAAGTGGTGGATGAATAAGTTATTTGGTAATAAGTGTATGTGTCATCTCTAGCGTGTGCGTTATCGAAATGTTAAAGAGGGTTCATACTCTACAAAATGTGGCGTATGCAGTAGCCTGACCACACATTAAATTAGATCACAAAAATGGTGATTGTTCATTCAAATAAAAGCAAATTCAAAAGCTAATTGGTAATATCGAATATGCCGACTAAATGTATCCTTCCAGTAGATCTTAGCAGATTTTTTGCTTGCGGAGGTTTTTTATAGACCATCATCATTATTTATTGCTTATTCCGGATCTATTTTAAACCAGCGCGGATTCTACAAACTAATGGAAATCACCACTAGGCTTTTAGATTGGTATTGCGGTACACGACAAACCCCTTGATTACATTTGGCATTCGAAGATTAAAACAATTTGTCTCTTTCAGAACTGCAAGAATGTGAACATTTTTACTACGATAGTCCATTGCAATACCAGTAGATTCTTGATGGTTCTGAATAAAAACTTAAAATTATATTCTTTCATGGCTTCTGATTTCTTAATAGTAATTTTATATATTTTTATGTGAACCGAAAGGTCTGAGAATCCATACAAAATAAATAGAATTTTTGGTCTGTTCCAGACTGCAAGAATGCGAAGCTTTTTATTACGATAACAGATTTGTCCTTTATGATATCATACAAAATTGCAAAACTAGTAGATTTTCGCAGCCTCTGGAACAGAGCAATTCAAAATAATTCTGAAAATTTTCAAATTCTGTTAAGATTCAAATTTATAGCATTAGGGGAGAATTTATTTTAGTGTGTTTGGGGCGGAGAAGAAACTTAAGAAAATTGTGAAAAAATACGTGAAGTTCCCATGGTGGTTTAACGAGAAAATTTGTTCAATTTCCAAGAAACTAGGAAAAATACAACTATGTACTAGAATCTTATTGTGTCATATCGACTTACCATTTGGTAATTTAGAAAAAAAGTTTGCTTACATATAAATTATCAACAATGTAATGGGCCAAAAGTACCATGGTAGAAGAATATAGCTAGACGCATCGACACAGCTGCTGGGACAATGAACCGTCAAACTAACTATGTGATTGAAAATTTTCAATGAAAAATCATTAAAATAGGTAAAATTTGTTAAAAAATACATATTATAACAACCTCCGATTGGCGTCGTATAAGAAAACATATAAAAATCTACTTATTTTTGACAAAACATTTTAAAAATATATTAATCTATCTTCTACCATGAAACGAACACAGCATTACTTCCAGAACTGGAAGAATGTGAAACATTGTGCTACGATAAAAAATTCCAAAACTAGTAGATTCTGGAACTGAAAAAATGAATTAACGATTCGTTTAATATCTCAAAAAAGAAGATTCTTCCATGCTCTGGAACTGAGCATTTGTATTTTTGTATTAATTATCGATGGTTTAAGAATATATAACATGTGAACCACCCTACACAGAAGAACATTGCGAAATTCTTGCCGCCGCAAAACATCGTTCCGCGGTGTCGTCTGTCTTGGCGGTTTATAAAGGTAAACAAAACTACTCATAGGCATAGCCTTGGAAGGACGGTTAATATCCAAATCCAAATAAATAGAAATGTCCGCCCACAAGTATGAGAATCTCTCACAGAAATTCCTGGTAAAATCGTTCGATTACCAAAGGCAATTCTTCCATTTGTATTCGCATCGATTGACCGAAATGTCTGCGCTGCTGGCCAAACGGGCTGAGGAACATTGGGGTAAAGCTGTGCCCATCAAGAAACTCTGTGATCTACGCGAAGAAGATGAAGAGGAATGCATTATTATTGGTACAATTTACAAACATCAGGAACATAAACCAAGCATATTGAAGGAAATATCGGAGGAGAATCAATTAGCACCACAACCAGCTAGACAACATTATTCCGATCCTGAAGATAAAGTAATATTGGAAGATGAGTTGCAACGTGTACGTCTACATGGTAAGGTACGGTGTGAAGAAATGGCCACTGGCGTTGTTTGTGCCGTTATGGGCTTAATTGAAGAAGACGGTCGTTTCGATGTCCAGGACATTCTATTTTATGAAGGAGGTATCCAAAGGCCATTGCCAAAGAAGGGAAAAGATCGTCTGCTTGTTTTATTATCCGGTTTAGATCAAGTTAATTCCCATAATTTTGTTGATTCATTGAATCTTTTTCAATATTGGCTACGCGGTAATTTACTCAAGGCTGGAGAACCGAGAAAGATGCGTGTTATAATTGCTGGAAATTCAGTAAAAAGTAGCGAAGAAAAACGCTTGCCTTCCTTACAGTCTCGACCCAATGAATCCAAAGATGTTGTCGATGCCATGCATGCATTAGACGAATGGTTTGCAGCTTGGTCCAGTTCCATAAATCTTGATGTTATGCCTGGCGCCTATGATCCAGCAAATTTTATGATGCCACAACAACCATTCCACAGCTGCATGTTTCCTAAGGCTGCCAAGCATGAAAACTTTCAAAGTGTTTCAAATCCTTATGTTTGTTCAGTGGACGATGCCCTTGTTATGGGTACTGCTGGCCAGAATGTTAATGACATGTTAAGGAATACAGGTCTCGAGAAACCATTGGAAGCCTTACGTTGCACGCTTAAATGGGGTCACTTAGCTCCCACGGCTCCCGACACATTGGCATGTTATCCATATTTGGATTGTGATCCTTTTGTTATTAGAGACTGTCCACATGTCTATTTTGTCGGTAATTGTGACGAGTTTTCAACTCGGCTTCATGAAGGTTCACAAGGCCAGAAAACCCGATTGGTGTGTGTGCCAAGATTTGCCGAAACCCAAAGTATTGTTGTGGTGAATTTGGAAAATCTGGATTGTCATGAAGTTAGTTTTGATTGTAATGGCGAGTAAAATATAAGAAAATAAATAAAATATATTGTTTTACTTAAATGTAATGTATTGTTTTATTTAATTCATTTTGTGTTTGTACAGACTAGTAGGCAACATTTTACAATTTTCACACCATCTCAATGAACAACTGGGCCCAATGGTTCACCACGTATATTGGCAAAATCCAGGCGGGAATCAATCGTTTCATCTATTTGTCCTATTACAGCGATGTTGTCACCTCGAATAATATGTAGACCCAAAACGATTTGCTCAATGCCGGATGTTGTGGAGAATACGCGCTCATGTGATTCATCCAATATGATATTTATAGTTTGATCGAATCCTTTCAATGTTCCAATGAAGTTACGTCCATCTGCAGTTATAATGGACACGGTATGATTTATGTACTGTTCCAATGTGGATGCCATTTTTCGAGGGGAAGAAAAACAAACGTTTAGTACGTTTTGATAAAAAGTTGGAAGAATGTAAACAACATATCTTCTTCTTTCTTAATTTTACTGTGGAATGATGACACTCACTGGGAATTGACTGTCTTTATCGATATCGATTAATTTCAACTACTACTAAATGATCTGTTTCAGAACCTAGAAGAATCTACTAGTTTTGCAATTTTTATGATATCGTAAAGGAAAAATCCTTCCTCGTAGTAAAATTATAAACAAATTCTTACTGGAAGTCGCCTGTTAACACAAATGTTCTGCAAAAGAGAATTATGCGAGAGGGAAATGTTGATATTTTTTTCATTGAGAGTTTGCAAATTCCATGGTAGAATGAAGAAGGTAAATGCTTTGTTCCAGTACCTGCAAGAATCCATGGTATGATAAGGAAGTAGAACAGCTTTGTAAAACTATAGAAATACAGCCCTGAGGCTATGCCCGCTTCCTGTCAGACTCATTCAAAATTATATATATTTTTAATTTTTAAAATAATAAATACATACATAGGGTTGCCATATTTTGACTCTGTCTTGTCCTATCTTTATATTTCTATGTTTTTGTTGATCTTTTGGGTTATAGAACAACATTTTGTAAAGATTAATCGATCTCATGTACGAAAATTAGCATGCTTCCTAAAAGAGATTGTAATAAGAGCGGTGCCAATAATAAGTGATTTAAACAAATGACTCATAATATTTTTATTTATATAATTGCAAATATTTTGTATATATGTATGTAAACATTGGAAATACACATACATTTTTCAAACACTTATTAATTTCCATACTTTGCCAATTTAAGCCTTGATAGGTGGTACCAGACCAGGTCTCCTTGGTGTTGGATCAGCAAAATAAGGCCGTCCAGCAGGTGGTAATATTGGCAGAGGCACTATGGGTTGCATTGCTGATGCCGGGTTTTTGTGTTCCTTTCCTCTTTTAGGTGCATATCTTCTGGCCGATGCTATGTTGAAAACAGCAAACATTGCAATAAAGATGGCAACAAAGGAAATGATTTTCAATTTGATCTAAACGATATTGCTCTGCGTAACCAACACGAATCGAATTGTTCTGATGAACTGTAACTGCAAATCGCACGTTGTGTTCTTTTATAGGAATTTGAAAGAGTTTTGTTTTTCATATATATTTTGTTTAAATGATGTGGTTTTATAATGATGTGGTCAACCTAGAAACTATTCTGTTGGTTTTGTAAGAAAAATGAAACAAGTTCGGAATTTCCAATCAATTCAAAGAAATTCTTCTCAGAAATAGTTAAAAGGCATGATAAACGATGTTATGATTTATAAAATAAGTTATGGCCAGATTTTTATAGCTCGTTTACAATATTTAAGATTTAACCTCTACGTTTAATAGATCTATTGGATTAACGTTGCGTGTTTAGATACACCTTACCCAGCTGCTGAACAAAGACGGTATCCGTTACATTTACTTTTCACAGTTTCCTTGCAAAATAAAATAAAATTACTTTACTACCTCAGAAAGAAGCTACTGGACAATTTCTCCAAGTAACCAGATCATATTAGGGTATAATTAATTCAAGGTAACCTCGTTTCAAATAAAAACATCCAGCTCTGCATTTTCTTGTCAAATTTTACTTCATTCAAAACAGTTTCCCATCTCTAATTGTGATGCATTAATTCACTGTATAATGAATATACATTTGCAAATTAGATGTTTAAAAAAATGAAAAAATGTAAATATATGATTGCATAAGGTTACATTCTTAATTCTGCCTTGGTTTTTATAGAAGAGAAATCCAATACACATTTTTAAACATTTTTCATTTAAAATTCTGGTTGTATAAAAACAATTATAGAAGAGAAATCCAATCATGGTACAATGAAGAGAAGGTAGGCTAACTTTGAAAAAATTGCAAGTATAGAGGTCTACCTGTTTGGCTTGTAATGTTAGAATTAGTATCAAAACAATAAAAAATCAAACTACTTGTTGCATTTATTTTGAGTAAATAATTGAAAAACGCGATAACTGAATGAAAGGTCAAAACTTCTTTTCAAAATCATGTACTATATATCTCTAAAGGATTATTTCGCTACAAAAACTCTAGATTTTGTCGATGCATACGTTGAAATAAACATTTTGAAAACACCCAAATTTGAATATTTTCTGAACAATTTTTTTGTTATTGAAAAGAAAACACATACATAAACAAATAAAGATGACATATTAAGCCAAGAAAATAAAAAAAAATTTAAATCATATGGTAGTTCTGCCCTACCTTGAATTCATTGTACCATGAATCCAATACTCATTTTTTAACCATTTTTCTTTTAAAAATTCTGGTTGTATTATAACAAATGTTTATTAATAATCCATGATTGTTATAAAAATTTGCCATAAATTACATTTTTTCAAATAAAAAAGTAGGTGAAAACTATTTTTATATATAATAATTCCAGTGGATTGCAACTTTCGATTCAAGTGCTTTTATGTAAAATCGAACGTAAATTCAGCGAATTATGTTTGACACAATACACAATGGAATTGACAGTCGATATCTTTAATAATTTTCATCAATTATCTTCGATTCTAATTAATAAATCAAAGAGTTTTGTCACATATATTACATTAATGTTTATTGGGAAGTTTGTGCCATAATCGCTAATTATGTTCTATAAAATCAATACACACTCACATTTGATATTTCATTAACCGTGTTGAGTCTTAATTTGTCTCCATCTTTAAATTAAAACACAACACTGTGCTTTAACATCTGCAAACAGTTACCGTTATCAATCATTGTTATACAGTGATGGCGACTGACAGTTTACAGACATGCGCTCTGCTAACCGTTACCAAAATGTCTTACCTTTCAATTACATTCATTCACTCATTCTCATTAAAACGAATCGAACGAGAACATCTGGTGGTCTTTTCGAAAACTAGAAATAGATAAACGAAAAAAAATTGTGGACATTTTAAGAATGAAATTGCAGTGAGGAAAGGATACAATTCCAAGAAAGTAAAGAGAATATAAGAATCAAAGAGAACTCACCGCTGTTTACAACTCTCCATGTCCACAGTCATCTATGTGTATGTGTGACAGGGCAAAAAACGTTAGTATACAACATTTTGACGTGAGTGGAAAACAGGAACAAAAGTAAGAAGAAGCAGAAACAGAATATGCAAAGCAAACACGTAGACAATTGAGAAAATTTTTTCACATTGACAAAAAGACGACAACCGCAGACGTTGGAGAACAATAAGAAGTGCTATACAAAAAAAAAAAGTGGAAAACCCATTGGCATTATTTTTTTACGAAAAAATATCCTGTGAATTTGGATTTAATAAAATAACGGAGTTTGTTAGAGTATTAAAATAAAATAACGAAAGTGTTGTAAAAGAAAAACTAACTAAAGTTTCAAACCAACTACCAACTCCCTAACATATGCTTTAAATTTGTGAAATTCATTCAATCACTGTTTCCTCAGCTAAGAAATCTAAACGCACAGCTTTTTCAATAACTTAAAAATTAAAAAATTAAAATTCAAATCCTTTGGAAAAAATCATCATTGTCCCATTAACCAGTAAGGAACCGACAACAACAAAAAAAGAATATATCAACGAAGTAAAACGAGACGACAATTATTATCGATTTATGTATCTGTTTATGGATGTGGCGGAGAAGTCCAACAGGAATACCAGCAGTTAAACACAACAACTACAACAACAAGAAAAACAAGTAATTCTGCTACATCTCAACGTCATACAAACGCCAACAAAATTTTATTGTTAGGACGCAGTCATACTTAGTTAGCAGTCGTAGTAGTCTGCCGCGCCAATAGCCAACAGTCAGTCAGCCATAGCCAGCCGTGTGTAATAAACGAACAAAGTGTATATCACACTGTTGTAGACATCAGCAAACCAGAGTCAGATATACAGACATTCTCTCAACAAGAACACACACACATATACATACCCACAGACACAAGCACACACACACATACGCAAAATAACTCGGGCTAAAATCAGCAGCCAAGTCAAGTCACACAGCCAAAGAAAACATCATCTTTAACACCAAGAACAGCAGCAGTAAAAATCTACATTTCGCCTTGGTCTTGGTCGTTAAGGTTGTAACAGGAAATTGTCCTGGCCAAAGTTGACTACAAGGATTTTTATTTGTTGAAATTAAAGAAAGAAAGAAAGAAACAACAGGAAAAACAGTGTCTTTTGAAAAACAAAAAAATTGCTGAATACTTCTTTATGTGTGTATTTTTTTCACTCGCTCTCTCCCCTCCTTTATAACACGGTTTTGTGCCCAACAGCAGAACGAGAAAAAAGAACAACAACAAAAAAGAGAAATATACATAGTTATATGTATAAATAAAAAATAAAATAACAGAGAACTGATAACCCCAATCAGGCAGTTGTTTTTCTCGCTGCCTCCTCTGTATGCCCCCAGTGTGTGAGTGTGTGTGTGACACAGAAACCCATTCTTTTTCTGGTTCATCTTAATTACAAACTGTTCCAATTTTTCTCAAAAATTGCGTATAATAAAGAAATTATTTGAAATTTTCAACCTAGCTGAATTTTCTGCGTGAGAGAGAAAGGCAACAACAACAACAACAACCCGACACCTAAAAGTGAATCTTGGAATTTTCATTTTCTAAAGCAGACAGTAGCAGAGAAAGAAAACAACAAAACAAAGGTGAGTTTAAACAGTTTTGATGTATCCAAATGTATATATTTTTTTGGCTGGAGGTGGACAGGCATTTTCATAACTGTGGACATGTCTGCGTATAAGTAATATATTAACAATACGCAGTGGTCAAAGTTTTATGAATTTAAAATATATTATATTCCAGACTTAAAAAAAACAATTAAGATATTATTAAGAAAATTATAAACATTAAATATAAATATTTTTTGTTGCGGTTTGAGGTTTTTTTTTACTTGAAATCCATACAGATTATCTGTTAGAAGAAAATTCGGCTAAGAGAAGGATATTGTGCGAGCAACAAGTAAAAATTGATGATGAAAACTTGTAACCAGGGCTAGAAAGACAGACAATGTCTCTGAAATCGAAGTCGAGACAATCAACTCGACTTCAGGTGCAAATTTTTATTAATTTTTCTAAAACATTTTATGTTCTTCAAAATTATCGGTGAATCCTACATTGGAATTAGGGCACTATTGAAAGACAAACGTAGGAAGTGATTTTTATTTCGATAAGCAATTTTTGGTCGTATGTTTCAATCCAGAGAAGGCATACGACCAAAATGCCTCATGGAAACAATCTCTCAGGACATTTGGATAAAAAAAACAATATTCCTGCCAAAAACTCAATACCTAATGTTATAATATGACATATATTCCGCTTTTTCTGATATATCGCATTTAAAAGCTCAAAAGCATAACATATTTCATTTTAAGCGAAGAATGAGGCCGATGTAGTCAAAATTTATAATTTGATCAGGTGTATATATAAATAAATAATGTCGGCCCACTGTTTGTGGATCTTTCCCTACAAAGCATCATCCTTTTGAAAAATCGTAGTCCATATAAAATATTATATTGGACCTGGGTTTGTTTTTTTTTTTTCAAAGTTGATTGATTCCATTTTACTCAGATGTGATTTATGTCTGCAGGACTTTTGGTACTGAAAAATTGCTATAAAGGTCTACGTTTTGGTATAAGACCCATAAAACTGTAGCGACAGATTTAAGGTCTTTTTGGGTGATCTGGTCACAATTTCGAACCGAATAGAACTTTCAATATAGGTCTAGTTTTTGGTATATCCCTGGCATTTTTCAACGGATTTTTTTTACATTTTTCAAGTTCTTTTCCAAATTGTGGAGGGTATTTAAGGTTCGCCCTGGCCTAACTTACCTACTTGTTTATTCGTTATAGCCTCTATCACAGTATGGAGGGTATATCATTCCGTTTAAAACACCTTAAAATATACACTTTAGACTACAAAAAGTGCAGGGTGAAATAAAAAACTGCAACAAAGTCAAACACCATAATTTTTACATTTTTTTATTTTTATTGAATGAATCCGAATAATGTCGAAAATAGCATCAAATTTTAGAAAAAGTTTTCATTTGTTCGAATTGGTCACTTTTGGCACAAATTATGGCCTTAAACTGCCAATTAAATAGAAATATTTTCTTTCTGTTGCGGTGTAAGTTCTTACACTTTTTATACCCACCACCATACTATGGAGGGTTACTCCTCAAAATACTCATGTCAAACCCAAGAAGGTATATATATTCTTGATCAGCGTAAAATTCTAAGTCGATTTAGCGATGTCCGCCTATCTGTCCGTCTGTCTGTTGTAATTACGCTAGCTTTCGAACGAATTGAGATAGAAGGCTACAACTTTGCACACATCTTTATTTTGCCAGTAGTTCGTTAATGGGCCATGTAAGTGCACGTTTTCATATAGCCCCCATATAACGTAACCTCCCGATATTCGGTATTTTGATAATTTTAGCGACATTATTCACCGGAATTGTTTCAAATTTGGTATTAGAAGTTCCAAATAGATACTACAGCCTAAGACAAAGAATTGTCTTTGCAGGTCCATGTTTTCGTATAGCCCCCATGTAACGGTACCTCCTTATATTCGGTATTTTGATGATTTTGGCGACATTATTCACCGGAATTGTTTCAAATTTGGTATTTGAAATTCGTAATGGATACTACAGCCTATGACAGAAAATTGTATGTGCAGGTCAACGTCTTCGTATAGCCCCCATATAACGGTACCTCCTAATATTCGGTTTTTTGATGATTTTAGCGTCATTATTCGCCGGAGTAGTTTTAAATTACGTATTTAGAGTTCGTAATGGGAACTACAGTCTGCGACAGAAAATTGTCAATGAAGGTCTCTGTCTTCGTATAGGCCCCATATATCAGTACCTCTCTATATTCGGTATTTTGACGATTTAAGGTACAATGCTTTCCTAAATTGTTTGAGGTGTCGCATTTGAAGTTCGTAATGGATGCTACAGCCTGTGATAGAGAATTGTCTATGCAGGTCTAGGTCTTCGTATAGCTCCGATATAACGGTACCTCCCTATATACGGTATTTTGATGATTTTAGCTTCATTATTCACCGTTTTTTCACGCTTCGAATTTGAATATGGTAATGGTTTATGACAGATATGCTTATGTAGGTCCACGTCGTATAGACTCCAATTAACCTATATTCGGAATTTTTAAGATTTTAACAGAACTTTTAACGGATTTTATTTTTTGAAAATTTCCAAATTCGTTTCAAATGGTGGAGGGTTTTTAAACTTACTGCTTTCTAACTTTTTGGAATTTCAATGGCTTTACCCCGAGCTCATTTTTCAATATTTGCCGAATGGGCTGATTGAGCTAATATTCACGAGTCATTTTTCGGCCACTACGACGCGGCTTTCTGTCAAGTCGCTTTTTTTCTTTTCGAGCCATTTCTGCTGATGTTGCTGTTTTCTTCTGTCCACTTCCTTGACGTCGGGCTACGCTGCCAGTATCACGGTAACGAGATATGGTACGAGACACAAAAGATTTATTCACATTTAAATGCTGGAGTGCTCTAACGATAGCCACTTGTCGTTTCCCAGCCAAATATAAAGAAATTACACTATCACGCTTGAATTCCATTACGAATAACTTTTTTCTGTAAACAATATAATGAGCTGTCACTGGAATAGTTTTAACAGCTGTCGGACGAGTGGCTTAGAAATGACAGCAGTCTGAACTTGGTTGCCGGTTTTTCATCTCACCTTTCATCTAAATTTTGACCCACTATCTCCCATTTCAATAGGGCTCGTCCTTGGGTCATACAAACGACTTGTGCAAAATTTGATCGGGATCGAGCAATAAATGCGATCTGTACTTTATTTACAAAAATACATTGACAGACGGAAGGATATGCATAAATCGACTCAGAGTGTGATTCTCTGCAGATCATCAAAAGGAACTCTGGGTCTATCTCGTTTCCTTTTACCTGTTTCAAACTAATGTACAAATACATAATCACCTGGAGTGTAAAAAGTGGCACTTTGGCCTTTTGACTCCTTGCATTGAAAGGAAATTTAATCAACTCCCACCCTTGGAGATAATGTGAAAATCTAATTACCAGAATACCGCATCATAAAGATATAAATATTTCTTAATCATATTTCCAAGGATACTGTGTGTTTATTCGATATATATATTTTTCGATATAACTTTCATTACAAAATAATATTTATATTCATATCGAAATTCATTCATCATAATGTCAACTCGGGCGATGGAGAGGAAATATCAAATTTCCTCCTGTGTCATGACCTTGTTGTACAAATTGACCAATGACCATAAAACGTATAATTAATAATAAATCATGACAGGGTGTATAAGTGTATGAGAGTGTGTGTGTGCATATAAAACACCCGCTGTGCCTTGTAAATTTGTTAAACAAAATACATGTGTATATATTTCACAAGTAAATGAATTAAAGGCAATGGAAATTAAATTATTTTGAGTTGTTAAAAAAAATATTTTGAGATATACATATCCACTATGTAGGGAGATATTTTGTTTTGGAACTTACATATAAAACTTGTCCAGACAGTGGTTCTACATCCACCGTTTTGTATATACATTTATATGTATATATTCATAAAGCTCATAAATGGAAGATATGCAAGATGTCCATCGGATCTAAACACAAGTTTGGAAGACTCTTAAATTGTTTTCTAAAGACGAGAGCATCCCATTTGTAATTCAAAATTTTTCGATTGTAATTCGAGAAATTTATTTGTAATTCATTAAAATTCGGATTATTTCATTTGAAATTCGAATTATTCAATTTGTAATTAAAATTCTTAAAAAATCGAATTAAATACAAATGGAATTCTTGAGTTACTCTCATTAGGAGGAATATTTGTATGGGCGCCATATCAAAGAGGGGATTATGGTGGTTAAATACCCAATGAAAGCAGAAACATTAAAATACAATTGGTTGAGGTATACCCAAAAGATGGCCTAAATAGCAACATTTTAGCAAGGGGAAATACTGCCCAATGAAAACATTAAGTATCAGATGAAACCCGTTTTTTTTGGGAAATATGACCGAAACCCTAACGACGTCAAAAATCAGTGGGATTTCAAAAAAATTCTAAAAAGTTGGAGAGAACCCATCCAAAAAAGTGGATGAAAAATTTTAGCCGACACTCTAACCATTCCAAAATTTAAAATCCGAATCTGTTCAATTCATATGGCTACAGAGGGTATATATCATTTGATACGGCTAAAACGTGTCTCATCGAAATAGGGGGATCCCTATTTCGAAATAGGGGGATCTCGAAGGGGGATCAAACTTGGTCCAGAATTAGTACATCGTAATACTATTACAACTTCTTCTTGTACCTCCCCCACAAAGGGGTTACAAGCATCTAATTCTTTTTAAACTTTACCAATTGCAATATTTCTACTAATACAAGAACTGGTGGGAAGATGGTAGATATCGGGCAGATATGGCCCAGAAAGGGCCACAATTTCCCATATTTATATCTCTAATAGCTTCCAAAACAAGTAAGCGAATCTTTTCTAACTTGGTATATGTAAATGTTTCTCTCCACAGGGGATCTGCTCTGAACATGGTATTTATCGGTCCACTCCTTCTCGTACTTCCCGCACACAAGGTTAAAGCTTAGATTAATTATACCCAAA